TTTGGGATTTCCTTACCTGGATGATTGAGCATGCATGAAGACGTAACTTGCTTAAATGGATATCTTTATTTCACTCCAGCTGTCATCAGTCTAACACTAGTTCATTGCATAAACTGATTGCTTGGTAACTTTTATCTACAGTTTAACAACTTCCTGCTGTGCTGCTCTCCAAAGTTCAGCCTGGTCGGGCAGCGTTTCACTGTGCGCTGCAGGATCGGGATGGATGGGATGCAGGTGCAGCAAACCACCAACGAGGACCATCCATACACCTTCCAAATATCTGGAAGGGAAAGGATCCTTGAGCTGCAGGCCAGGTGGATGTCACGATTGAAGCACATCAGTTCTTCTTTTTGTTTGTTTTTGTAACTATTTACTCAGATTACTTTGAACAGTTACACTTATTAATTGTAAATGCATTCGATTTGTTTTTCCAAGCTCCAAGCAAGATCGGGATGAATGGATAAAGGTATAATCAGATTTTATTTATTAAATTGTCTTCTATTTTCTAGACATTAAACGATACATTGATTAGGAAAAAATGAGTTTTCTCATCTTCTAAAGCAAGTTTTGTCCCCAGGTGATTCGTGAAGCCATTGATGTGTTTCAGAAGAAAAATGATACCTTCAGACTGGCTTCTAGGGAGCTTACTGTAGCAGAACCAGTAAGTTGCATCAATTCTAGGAATATGGAGTTTTTTCCTGGGCTGGAGGCTGTTTTAAAACAAAATGTGTTCCACAGACAGAGGAGCTCGGCAAACGAGCCCCTCGCTGGATCAGAGACCATGAGGTGATCCTGTGTATGTCCTGCATGGAGCCTTTTAACGCCCTTACTAGAAGAAGACATCACTGCCGTGCCTGTGGTTTTGTGGGTGACCTGATAAACTGCAGCTTTGTATCACACACAATTGAACTTTATCTGAGAACAGCTCAGACATGATGGTTTCTGTTTCTACAGGTGGTGTGTTGGAAGTGTTCAGACTACAAAGTGGCTTTGGAGTATGACGGTTACAAGCTGAACAAAGTGTGTAAAGCTTGTTACGCCATCCTGACTGGCCCGAGAGGGGAGGGCTTGGATGGAAAAAAGAGAAGAATGCTGGATGTGAGCCTTGTCGTTTCAACTATTTAAACTTTATGGGTTGTTTTAGACCAAAAAGGCCACCTAACAAACTTTGATCATTGTTTGTTTTTTTATTTCTTCCACAGTCCAAAGCATCTCCAGGGCCTACTGACAGTGTAATGAGTGGTTTCCTGCAGTATGGGGACAACCCCCAGACCTGGCAACGAGTGTGGTCTGTGCTCACCAGGGCTGAGCCTCCCGTTCTTTACCTGTACTCCGTTCCACAGGTAAAGTGCTCTGAAAAAGTCAGGAATAATAATAATGTTGAAGGGATTTTGCTTTTAAGTATAAGGGTACAACTGTGTTTCTTTGGGACACTGGGATATTATGTTGCAAATGTTTTATACAGTCAAATGAAGACAAATACTTGAAATGCAGCTGGGACTGTAAAGATGGTACAAGCAGTGTTTGCCCCTCAGCTGTAAAAGATTGATGGGGTGTTGCGGTCACGGACACAAAGTTTGTGAAAGTGATAACTCGAGAATGAAGTAATGTAGGACTTTTAAATTGATACCATAGGTGCATCTACTTGGGCAGGGGTGAGGATCTCCAGGCCTTCAGGGCCAGTGTCCTGCAGGTTTTAGATTTTACCCTGGGTCAACACATCTTAAACAAATGATTAGTTCA